GCTGGCCCTGGGGCAGCCCCAGCTGCTTGGGCAGCCCTGGGGTCAGCCGCACCAGCTGCTGGAGAAGTCACGGAGGTCACGGAAAGTCATGGAATCCATGACTTCCGTGATCTCCATGACAACCTCACAGCCTTACCTATAGTTAACATTCCATAAATGTTCCAATCTAAACAATATTTTCAGTCTTATAATTTTTTTGGTCTTTTAACTCTTGGGTTGAAATCTGGCTGTTTTGTTCTGTCTAAGGATTACTTTTTTTAAAAAGTAATAATGTTTCAGCCATTTTTGAGAATGGGAATTGAGAATTTTCATATATGGAAGTTGTATTTTTTTTCATTGCCTCCCATTCTCAAAAATGGCTGAACCAGTTTTACTTATTTTTTTAAAAACAGTAGTCCTTGGACTGAGAACAAACCATTCAAAGATAAAAGACCAAATATATAATAACACTGAAAATAAAATGGAACACTTATGAAACGTTAACTATAGGTATCACTGTACACTCTGTCTGTAACTAGAGACCTGCAAATTCGCAGATATCCACTTTATATCTGCAGATATTCGCATCCGCAGATGCGAATCATTTTTGCTGATTGGGGATGGATGCGGATCCAAATTTTATATCTAAAGCCCTACAAATTTTGTATCCATACAGGGCTGTATCTGTCATGTATAGAAAAAAAAACCCTATGGTTGAGATTTTCAAAGCTGACTAGTGGACTTAACGGGAGTTATGTAAACTTCAATATGAGTTATGTGGCTAAGTTCCCTAGTCAGCTTTGAAATTGTCAACATTTATGAATATATGTGTGTGCATACATATAAGTGTTTACATACATATATGTGTAACTATTACACACTATTTATAGATTCATAGATTCTACGACTGGAAGGGACCTCGAGAGGTCATCGAGTCCAGTCCCCTGCCCTCATGGCAGGACCAAATACTGTCTAGACCATCCCTGATAGACATTTATCTAACCTACTCTTAAATATCTCCAGAGATGGAGATTCCACAACCTCGCTAGGCAATTTATTCCAGTGTTTAACCACCCTGACAGTTAGGAACTTTTTCCTAATGTCCAATCTAAACCTCCCTTGCTGCAGTTTAAGCCCATTGCTTCTTGTTCTATCCTTAGAGGCTAAGATGAACAAGTTTTCTCCCTCCTCCTTATGACACCCCTTTAGATACCTGAAAACTGCTATCATGTCCCCTCTCAGTCTTCTCTTTTCCAAACTAAACAAACCCAATTCTTTCAGCCTTTCTTCATAGGTCATGTTCTCAAGACCTTTAATCATTCTTGTTACTCTTCTCTGGACCCTCTCCAGTTTCTCCACATCTTTCTTGAAATGCGGTGCCCAGAACTGGACACAATACTCCAGTTGAGGCCTAACCACTGCAGAGTAACCAGTCCCTCATCAATAAAGTACACAAAGAAAAATCTATGATCCATTAGACTTGGCGATCCCTTTAAATAAAATGAATACTTATCTTTATATATCATATTTATCTTTCCCCTCTAGTTTCCTGAATTGGCTAAAGCTGTTTTTATACTTGCATTCATATTTGCAGTATTGACTAACCTTCCATTTCTGTTCCCTGGACATCCTAACACTGACTGAATTAAATATGAAGCAAAAAAAGGAGAGAACAGTTTTGTGAGGAAAAAAATACAAGTTGACCTTGAAGGGAAAACCACCAGCAGTGCATGAGCTTTTGCATTACATTGCTGAAAATCTGTAGCTTTTTACTTCACTCTTTTATGTCGCATCATAGGAAGCAGATTTGGACTATTGATTATCATACATTATAAGCTGCTCACCTCACCATTAGCCTGTAATTTTGACTGCTGCTGCTAGCAGACAGTGAAGAAAATCGAACAGCCACTTTTGTACTAGCAGCAGAAACTATAAACACAAAGTGAACTATCACCACCGAGGGCCAAATTAGTATTTATGAGAAAACAGAATCAATTTAAGGTAAAAATAAATATATAAAATAGGTCATATGCAGCATTGTACAGCAAGATGCACTGGAAGGGTGATATGCACCGTTGGTCTTTATCTCTACTCGTCTACCTCCTGTTGAAAATAAACCCTTAACAGTCCAAGTGTGTACAATAAACAGCAGCAGCCTGGAGACTTTCCTCAATCTCTGGAGCTTTAAGGGTAAACAATCAGCCAAGTGCTGTATGCACTTTAGGGAGAACAAATCCTAAAATAACCTGCTAAATTATCAACCATAGAAAGAAAAGGAAACAAGCTACCTGGCAAATGATAGTCACCTAGATTGGAAATCTGTAGCAGAAAGAGAGCTAAGATAGCCCAGGATGAAGTCATGCTGGCAAAATGTAGACTGTACAATACAAGATATATATTTGAGCAAAAATATGCTACATCTGATATACTGTTTTAAGCTACAACAAAAGTCAATGCAAAAAATGGTCATTTGAGCTAACCTTAAAATGAAAGATGAACTTCTGTGGTTCTTTCTCTTATTCCTTACTCTTTCCTCACAGTCCTCATAAAAGAGAATAAAATAAAAATGGTGCCATAGTTCTCTTTACATCACAAATACACTGCACTACAATAATAACTAATTAGTGGGTTCATACTGCTGACTTCTTTCATATGGCTAAAAAAATGGGAAATTATAATTTGACTCATTAATTCTTAAGTGTCTTCTTTATTATCGCAAGGTGAATTTAATATAATTAAAGTTTTTTGCTTCTAACAATGATTCAGTATAGCTAACCTAACTTCACAAATACTATTTCACTTTAATTGGCTCTTAGATGTCTATTTTAAATTACTTTAAAAATAAAAGACCAAACATAAAAAAACAACTGCCAAGAAACATCTTATATGCTATGTTTATAATCTCCAGGTCACTACAGTTTGTGTCAAATTACTGTACATAATGTAATAGTGTATGCTCATGTTTGTGTGTTTATGTGTGTATGCTAACTTCACTTACATATAAGAAATTATATAAAATCAAACAAAACAAAACCACAATATCCAAAACCACACTTGAGTGAGGCAAACAGGATTTGGCCCATTATGCCTTATATTGGCTGACTTGCTAAATGATAGCTCACGTGCATTCTTTGCCTAAAATTTTATTCTCGTGGCATTTAGCATGTGTAGCTATGCATCACCATATAGGCATGTAACAGGACTATAAGGTAGATAAATAGATTTTGTAAAACTACATATTACATTTACATATTGGAAAGGGTAAAGGAAGAACACTTACTTTTCTACCATTATTGGCAGTGAATTAAGATGTCAATAATTTTGTTATATATATGTTGTTACAGTCTTGGTGGATACTAGCATATGCTCATCAGTCTTACATATTAATATGCTTTATTCTTTTTCCTCTTCTTTCAAATAACAGCTGATCTCCTGGACAGCTAGAGGGAAAACCTGGCACCACCAAAATCAATGAAAGTTTTGCCATTGACTTTCATAGAGCCAAGATTTCACCCCTGTTTCCTATCCTCTCTGGATACTGCCACACTCTAATCTACCTGTTTTACCTTGTTCACCTTTATAAATGCTAAAGGTAAAAAAAAGATCCAATCCTACAAATCCTTAGTAGTATGCAGTCCAGCTGAAGTCAATGATACTGCTCTTGTGAGCAGGGCTATTCAAATGAGAAAGGGTTTACAGGACTGGGCCCAAAAGTTTATATCTACCTGTTCTTAAAACATGATAATGCTATTACAGTCCACCTCTTGCTCATGAAATGTTCTCTTTTCTACTGCATTACATAGTGACCAATAAGAATGTGTTTTCTGAGCTTTATTACATATTGGGGGGGAAAGATTTGCCTTTGGGTGCATGCACAAAGTTCACATTGACTTTCCTGGAAGCTGAACTCATTTGACCCTCGGTTTTGTGTATTCATTACTGAAAATGGTTATATATGGAACTCAAAAATGAAATAACTACAGGGCTCTTGAAATCACACATATTTTCAGTCTAGTTGCATACAAAATTATGCAAAGTGAAAAATCAGCATTTACTTTACACCAATAGAACGCACTAACTTTTATATACTATTTTAATATTTTGACATAAATATTAAACATTGAATGCCTATATTTATGTACACATATGTATAAATGGCTGTATACTTAACTGTATATATTTTCCAAAAAGAGATATCAGTAACTCTCTCTTAAGAACGACAGCTAGTAATTCCTGTAATCTGATCAGAAAACCTTCTAGAATTAATATGAAATTGTGTCTCACTTTTAATTTGAGGGAGACAATTACCTCTATTCAAAAATGTTGTAACCTGAAAGAACTATTTATCAGTAGGCATCTATTAGAGACAAAAAATAATGGCTTCTCTGACATGCCCTAAACACTAGGGTTATATGACACTTCTGATGAGAACAATCAACTAAAGTACTACTTCTGAGGTTGGATTCCTGTTTAATTACAATTGCTTTTGACATAAATAAGCAGAGGTAAACAAATAGTTCTCTGCACATGCTTGCATTTATTAAACAGAGCTGTTTGCAATCTGCATATTTATATTGGCTTGTCTGTTTAAAGGCTTCTCTCAGTCAGGCAAAGCTTAGATTAGAATGATGATTGACAGTAGAACCAAAATGGATTCCCGTTTTTTTAAACCTCTTAACTCTTGTGGGCTTTTCTTCTGATATTACAACTATCAACACCTGAGGATTATTACCCTTATAAACAGTTTCCCTCTAGTTTTCCAGGAATAGGGCAAGGGGAGGATATTTCTAACATTGATATGGCATAAAATATTAGAAAGGCAATTAAAAGGTGGTGGGCCAGTAGATTTAGTCCTAGTTCATCACTGCTGTGTTAGTCCATAAACATTTCAAAAATATTGCAGGGCTGAGAGGATTATTACATACAGTACATTAAAATATGCTTTGAAATCTATGAAAGAGTTAGTGTCAGTCTTACATATTTTTAGAGGCAGTGCAAAAATAAGAAAATGTACTTGTTACCTGAAAATTTTCCTTCCTCACAGCGGGCTGGTCCACAGATCCCAACAATGGGTCTTTGGCCTCTGCCTTGCTGTTCTGGAGGCAAACCAGATCTGTGAGTCACAGACAGAGATAGGCTCCACTTCCCCAAAGCCCACCAATGTGAACACTTCCTCAGTAGAAAAATATTATCTAAACCAGAGGGGGGTAAAACGTGGTCCTGGCACCACTTGTGGCCCTTGAGACTCTAAACTGTGCTTGAGGGTGACGGCGTTAATAAGAATTGATAATGTGTTCCCTGAGACACATCCTGTAATTTGTCAGTTGAAGAGCTTAAATCAGCCCTCCCACTCTGCAGTGGGGGCAAGGGGATCAGTTTCTCATGTAGCCCCAGGAACAGCTCTGATAGCTGGCCACCTGCTGCATCAGAGGGAAGGGAAGAGAGAGTCTTTCTGGATGCTCCATGGTACCTGCTTTCCTACCAGGGGTTGGGAGCCCCAAGTGAGCAGGATAGGAGGTCAAGTGGTTCTGTCTGAGCCTAGAGAAGTGTTTAGAAAAGGATATATCCCCTCTTTCACACAGGACAGCTCAAGAAAGGGAAAAAAAGAAGTAGAAAACCAGCAACCAATTTTGGCTTCCTAGTTCTCCAACCCTGAGAGGGGCTGGAATCTGCTTTAATTTGCTCACTAATGGACCAAATGGCAGCTGCAGATAGACAGAGCACAGCACACTCTGGCTCTCCTCGATCCCACCACCAAAATACTCCCTGAGCCAGGGCTGCAGGGAGGAAGACATAAGAGCCAGCTATGCCAGCTCTATGCTTGCTGAGGAATTCCCCACCCTAAGGAAATCCCCAGCAGAAGACTTGCTGGTGGTTTGCATTGCCTAAACAGTTGGCCTAAATTGATAAACTATTAGCATTTAAACTGTGAATATAGTGACTCCTTGTTGTAGAGCCCAAGAGCTGTTTCCTGGAAAAGAAGAGAAATATGACTGCAGTAATTAATAGGACAGATCTGTGGATCTGTTAGAAAGGACATTTTCAGACTAACACATTTTCCTATTCTTTGTCAAAGGCAGGTCCGTAGATCATACAATGGGATTTTATCAACATTATTCCAATGAGATGGGATTCCTCTAGTTCAGAAATTAAATTGAATTTGTATAATTATTTACCAATAATTCATAAAATTCAAATTATCTTTTATGTTGTGTTCATATCTATTGTGATAGTCTTTAGGAGCCCAGTCAAGATCAAGGCCCCATTGTGCTGGACACCATACAAACAAATAGTAAAAGCCAGTCCCTGCTCCAAAGAATTTACAATTTAGTTAGAGAGAAGAGGCAACAAGTGACTATGAGAAATAAAAGCAAAGAATGAGGGAGGACAGACAAAGGTAATGAAAACATGATCACACTCTTGATCCTGCCTGAATGTACCAAATATTTTTTTTTAATAAATAAACAGTGCTATCCCTGACTGAAACATTGCTATCCCTGAAAGCCACCATGTCACCAATGCCACATAGCAGTCAGACATGTCCTTTAAAAATATCTGCCATCCCCAAACTTTTAAGATGGTGTATCTCAGCTTACAAAGCAAAAGGCTTCTCTTCTGGCTATAGATGTAAAGACTATGTTAAGCTAATTGATAGTTTATGAAAAATAGTTAATGTGGTAATATAAAAGCTAACCACTGGTGCTTGGTTGTGTGTCATAGAATCATAGAATCATAGAATATCAGGGTTGGAAGGGACCTCAGGAGGTCATCTAGTCCAACCCCCTGCTCAAAGCAGGACCAATTCCCAACTAAATCATCCCAGCCAGGGCTTTGTCAAGCCGGGCCTTAAAAACCTCCAAGGAAGGAGATTCCACCACCTCCCTAGGTGAAGCACTGGAATGACACACAACCAAGCACCAGTGGTTAGCTTTTATATTACCACATTAACTATTTTTCATAAACTATCAATTAGCTTAACATAGTCTTTACATCTATAGCCAGAAGAGAAGCCTTTTGCTTTGTAAGCTGAGATACACCATCTTAAAAGTTTGGGGATGGCAGATATTTTTAAAGGACATGTCTGACTGCTATGTGGCATTGGTGACATGGTGGCTTTCTGAAGGATTCTCTCTCATTTATATACCTGTTTCAACATCCCTGCTGTCATTCAGAGTATGTCATCACTTCTCTTCGACTGTGATAGACTGAAGTCAGTAGGGTTCTGTGAGGGAGAATGGGTTTGCCTATTGCAGGATCAATGCATTAAAGTTTGTCAATAGATACTCAATCCTTTATACATGGTAGACTATGACAAGGAGGCGTGGCCTCCCTCAGAGATTGACAAGGAGAGACCACAACCCGCCCCTTGGGTTGTAGAGCTAGGAAGGTCACGCCTGCCCTGCCGGAAGCTGAGGGGTGGGACAAGAAGCGGAAGTATAAAAAGCAGGTCCCGCAGCTCAGTTGGGCTGGAGCCACTGAGGGAGACAGAGCTGCCGGTCGACCAAGATGAAGAGGAGCTGCTGGGGATGCTGCTGTCCACCTACTGCAGGGAGATGGAGGACACCCATAGAAAGGAGGTATAATCAAGGGGAAAGTAGGAAGTAACCCATGAGAACTAGATGGCAGTCTGGTTGGGCTTTGGCCTGATACTAGGTCAGCGTGTTGCAGGAAGAGACTCACTGACCTAGTGGTGGACCATTTCACCACTGTTAGGGCCCTGGGCTGGGACCCGGGCCCCTCATCCCCTTAATCCTTGTGGGAAGCAGAATGTTTTCCCATTCCTCCTTCTGAAGGCCATCATTGTTACTTCCGCTTGCCAAGATTCAGCTATCAGATCACCACAAACCTCTCCCTTGCCACATAGTAGGCTGGAGATCTCTGAGGAAACCTAACTTTGTATATGGGTTTAGAGATGTTTTTGTAGGAAGGTGGGAAAAAAGGGAAATGCCTCATGTGAGATTTGCCCTAGGTCAGGATAACCAGTTTGACTAAATGGCACCATGGACTATGATTTTGCCAATTGCTGACTTTATGTTTTATTGTATTATTAGTGCCTTCAAGTCAGAGATTTCCTGGATGGAGTTTTCACTTATCCCAATTTATGAGGAATCCACATTCTTCTATGATTTTGAGTGTCACAAGAATATCATCCTTGGCTTTCTGCCTGGGTGATGCTCCATTACAAGATAATTCAAGAGAGAATAAATAAAGATGCCCCTTTGTCTGAAAGCTGCCTTTCTAACGATGAGAACTTTGGCATAGACTATTGGGAACACAGAGAGATACAGTTAGATTTTTTTCAGGTTCACAGTCAATAATAATTTAAAAAAATCTCTAAGATATTCTGTTTGAAGATGACTTTTAGAGTCTTCATGCTGAACTTTAATTTCTCCAGATGCCTGATCAAGAATTCCAAGTTCCAGATTGTGCTGTTGTTTTTTAATACTTTGAGGATCATCATTAGAATAGAATATAGACATTAACAATTCTCTGTTGGAGGAACTTTCTCTGTTCCTCTGATTTGCATGTGTTGAAATAAGCAGCTAAGTCACTTTGGTATCCATCACCTTTGAACTTGTTGCATCTTCATCTGTTACAGAGATCTGTTTGAGTACTATGCCATAAAAAAATGGCTGTCTGTTTTATAGCAAGACCTGTAGTCTCTTTGGGTTTTTTCCCCAAAGATTTTGCCATTACTTGTCCACAGGTTTCCTAAATAACCTCCCTGGATATAGTTAGAATCTACTTTGCCTGGCCATTAGCTTCTCACAATCTGAATCATATTCCTTTGAGAAACTGCATTACATACTACAGACCTGGACAAGAAGCCAAAGGGCATCCACAGGCACAACCAAAACGGAAGATGCTGTTATTGCAATCTTTCTGAGAGATGTCCTCTATTACTTTATCCTCATGCTTTATTAAGGAGGAGCTACAGTAAGACATTCCACAGTCTAAAAAAACAGCTCAGGCAAAGCAGATAGATGCTACTGCTGCCCTTAAGACTACTGAGGAAGCCTCATCATTTCTCTTGAAGATAAATCATACAATATGTCTGTCCATGGATTCCTTGGGAGAAAATCTCCATTCTGTAAATGATAGAGCCTTTCATTAAGGCAGACATGGGTACAGACATTTAGAAAGATGACCAATCTTGTTGTCGACATGTAAACATTATGAACTATCTTGGGCTATTCAGAGACATTTTGGTTTCCTGAAGCATTTCACTCTGATATAATTAATACAGAACTTCATATATGCTTCCCACTAAACCTTGATTTGCTTTTGTTTTATATTAAACCTCTGCTCTTAGTCTTTTTGTGTGCATGGACAGAAAAGGTGAGGGACTTCTGTGGGGTTTTTTGGCTTGGCTGTCTGAATCGTCTGTCTGGCTCTTAGAATAAAAAATAACAGGGATCTGAAACAAATGATCCCCAAAGGTTGTCTGATGGTTCTAAAAGTGACCAATGGACTTCTGAATAAGATATTGATTTGCTTTATTTTTCTTGTAAAGAAAAATGTTGCTTTGACCATGAAGGGGCCAAAATGTATAAGTAGCACCACATGTAACTGTACTGTTTGTCGTTCATTAGGAAAAACTGCATAAGGAGTTAAAGAGGTAAAAAACTGTTCTTAGGAGAAAGAGAACTCAATTTTTTTTTCTTCGTGCTACCTGCTACTGTACAGGTACATCACACACCATGCTTTGTAGGCTTCAGGCATGTAATTTAGCTAAAATGATACAATAGCAGAGCTTTACACTTATTTGTCAAGTTCTCAAGTGACTCTGTGTAGTTCCAGCTGAAGATGCATACAAAGCAGTTAATTTGCTACCACCAAGGAAAAAATGTTATAACATAAAAAACGTTCCCTCCCTTAGCTCAAAATTATCTAGTGTCTAGGGAGCCCAAGTATTTGTAAAGCTGGTATCATGCATATGCTTCCAGTGTATCTGCTACACATATACACCTGGCATCCATCTCTATGTAAAAATATACTTAATTATCCCTAAAATGATTATGTGAAAATCTCTGTTTCTGGATATTTCATACAAAACAAATAAGTAAAAGGACAAATGTGATGTTGGAGAATTACT